TTTTAAAAGAAAAAAATTACTATTGTTATAAATAACACATTAAATTGAACTAAACTATGCATACCTATTTAAATATATTTACATATGGCTTGTGCATATAGTATATATATATATACATATATATTATTCATACCTTCGGTGTACAGGACGCAAGCAGATTTTGACATCAAATTTTGGGGTAAAAAGTGCGTTTTGTACACCGAAAAATACGGTAGGTTGTTATATGACCTGTGCTTTGAGTTAGAAGTTGGAGTGAGTTTGACAGAACGATGTTCGTAAGTCTGTCTGTATATAAAGTATATTTTGTACTTGTAAGTTACAAGTTCATGACTACCAGTTTAAACTTCTCTGTAAAATAATAAACAAATTTCAAAATGAAAAAGGATTCATATGATTTATTTTTTATAAAAAACTCTCATTAGACTTTAGTTAAAGAGAAAAACAAAGATGTCGACCCAAGAGCATGATAAACAAATACTAGATCTAACTTCACCAGAATTTGATGCTCTGACAGCATTACAAAATCCAGGTAATGTTATACTACCTTGCCCAAATGCTAGAACGTTTAATAACATTGCTGAATATACCACATTTGCATTTGGACGAAAAGAACGAGAAACTGAAAAGAATACAGATAAAACAGGCTCCAAGTCAAAACTGAAGAAAGAAATTAGGCCTACTGACGTTAGTAATAATACTAATACAACTAAGGCTCGCACCGCTAGTACTGTAACCGTTACGACACCTGGAAGTTCCAAGCCATGCACCAGTACTATTATTTCTGATCCTGTTTCTGAAAGTGGAGACACTACGTTTACACTTTTAAGAACACCTATTTTGGTATGTATTTCTTGCAATAATATTACAATTAAAATAAGTTAATGATACTCAGGCTATGATGAAAACTGAAGAAAAAGGAAAAATTAATTTGTGCAATAAAGTTTAGCACAATAGCTTTGAATAAGGTTAGCACGAAACTCTGAAGGATATCTCAGTTATTAAACTGTTTAGTGTTAATATAATACTCATTGTCAAGCGAGTAGAATCTTGTACTGTTGTAGTTTGTGCAACCTAAATATAATTCATTAAATATAAAGTTATCCATTCAGAGTGTGAAGGAATGCAAACTATTGGTACACATTACATCACATGGCAAACCACTTCATAAGTTAATAAATGTAATGGAAAACATTTTGCCTAATAACAAGTTGGACCTGGGCTTCCATGGTTATTATTTTTTCTAATCTCCAACCTTATCCTTCCACTACTCTAAAAAAACTTCCCAAAGGCAATTTTTCCAAGCCTGTAAAGATTTTAAACTCGTGCACCAGTCACCTACAGTTCTGCAGAGCAAAAATGTCAACAAGCAGCCCAGCTTCAGAGCTTTTTGAGGCAAATCAGCATATCTCATATAACAACACTGATATTAGTCTAAAATAAGGTATTTCTAAATTTTTGTATTCTGAATGCATCACCTTACATTTATATTCCACAGATTAGCCCACTCAGCAACTGTCCAATTATTTAACATATCACACATGTAAAATAATGAATGATCAATTCAAGGCTGTCCCTGCACACCCATCATAAAGAAAAAGTAAATACCTTATTCTTTATTTTTCAGGAAATTACCAATTCTGCTTTTAAATTCTTGTAAAATTTAATATTCTTTCCTAGAAAAGGTGACCAAAACTGTTCACAGTAATCCATGAGGTCTAACTAATGATTTGTGTAAAGATATAAGTACCTCTTTTGCTTGTAATCAATATATCTATAAATAAACCCAAACGTTCTATTAGATTTGTAACTAGCAACGGTGCACTGTCTCAATGGTTTGAGTGATTTATCCACAACCATACCAAGATCCTTTTCTTCAGACATGCTGTGTGTTCCTATCTACATTAAATGTGGGATCCAAATTATGATAACCCAAATGCATTATTTGGTCTTACTATAATTAAAGGTCAAATGCCATATATTTGCCTAACGAACCACTTAATCCAAGTTGTTCCATAATAACTTATTGTTTTCAATACAGCTAGAAATACCTGAGTTTAGTGTCACCTAAAAACTCGTTTACTAATAACACCTCTACCATTATTATTAATGTAAAAAAAACTTTACCACTATACTAGTAAAAAGGGTCCAGTTTGACTAGACTCTGTTGCTAACAACTATTTACTTCCTCTTATCCATCTCCCACCAATGTGACTTTTCTTAGCTAATCTTTTGTGTGGTGGGGTATCTTATCTGAATCTTTTTAAAATATAAGTACATCCAGTAACATACGACATCCTCAAAAAGTTAACAGGTTAATGAGGGAAGATTTACATTTAATAAATCCATGTTGGTATTTTTTAGGATATTATATTTCACCTGATAATTTTGGAAATTTTGTTTTAATAGACTCTTGCAATTTTTTCACTATAAAATTAAGACTAATGGTCTTTGATTTCCAGTGCAACTCTTATCACCCCTTTAAAAATAGGTTTAACATTAGCAAATCTCCTTCCTTAAGGATCTGAACACTGTATTGATCTACCAAAAATGAAAGAGTGAGGCTCCTATGTATATCTGATCTTTGACCTCCTTTTAACCCTTTGAAAAACATTCTCTGATCTTGTTACTTTATTTTTAACCTTTTAATCTTTTTTTTTTTTTTTTACCATCAAGGGATTAATATCCAGAGTTCTCAATAGGATTTCATGGCTTAGAGCAAAATCCCTTCCCTTCAGGGTTAAATTGTAGGGATGAAAACAAAAAAGAGTGAAATCTTGAAACTTAAGAGTGACATTAAAATATAATTGTCACAATTCCACACCCCCAACTGTATCAACATTTTGTTAATAACTTAACAGTATCAATATCATAACTTAAGTATAATCATCTCAAAGTTTTTAGTGCATATTACATATATATGTGTGTACATATGTATAGTGAAAAGCAAGGAATTTATAATATGGCTATGAGGATATTATCAGTAAATTAAGAAGATTACATGTAATTTTTACATCACTTGTGTGACTGTAAGTCTCCCATATTCTGTAGATGAAATCTCTACACATAAACTGAATTTATTTGTATTAATCATTAGCAGAGAACAGTGACTTTATTTCAGAAAGTTTTCAATGTAGATAAGCTATGGAAATGTAACTAATAGTAAGTAAAAAATTGAAATATGTTACTGAGGTAGACCTACTTTACAGTTGCCAATGTAATGGTGTGTTTCTGTGACTTTTGGGTATAGAAGTCTTTTGTAATGGAAGAGTAGTGCAATAAGATGAATTTCAATTTATAATTCTTTCTCCCACAGGAACAGCATTCTAAGATTCAGCAGGATGGTCGTGTGCTTCCCACTACAGACTTCCCTTTCTTTAGACCTCAAAATAGAAAAGTTCTACCTGACGTTCTCAAAAAAATGAAAACAGGGTATAATAATGGACCATTAGGAATGTTAAACAAATGTGTTCAGAACCAAACACGAGTCAAAGTAAGCCAGTGTTTCAACCACATATGTAATAAATACTTATCATTAAATCAGCAAATTAATAAGATGTTGAAATTTTATTTGTAAACTACTAGCTAATATGTTTTTAGATCATTGAGTAGTGGAAGAGTATTAGAAGATTGGAAGTTGGCTAATGTTAGTCCAATATTTAAAGGAGGTGATAAACATTGTACAGGCAATTATAGGCCAGTTAGTCTTACATCAGTAGTTGGAAAGGTTTTGGGGAGTGTGAATAAAGATGCATTGCAGAGTCACTTAAAGCAGTTTGATATAATGTCAAAGAGCCAGCATGGTTTCACTAATGGAAAATCTTGTTTAACAAATCTTCTGATATTCTTTGAAGATGTTACTGCAAGAGTTGATGAAGGAAATACCATGGATTTGGTTTACCTTGATTTTCAGAAAGCATTTGATAAGACTTGTTACAAAAATTAAATCTGTGTGTTTGGAGGAAATGTTATGAAATTGGATAGAAAATTGGCTGGAGAATAGAAAGTGGAGAGTAGTAATAAATGGAGTTAGATTTGACTGGATCACAGTTACAAGTGGTGTGCCACAGGGCTCTGTGCTGGGTTCTTTTCTTTTGTGATTTATATTAATGGAATGATTAAAAAATATTGAAGTTTGCAGGTGACATTAAGATTTTTGGGATGGCTAACTGTGTCGAAGATGCTGCAGATTTACACGGAGATTTAAATCATTTGATGCATTGGGCCAATACGTGGCAGATGATGTTTAACTATCCAAAATGTAAGGTGATGCATGTAGGTTTTTACAATTCAAATTATTGTTACAATTTAAATGGGAATACATTAAATACTGTGGTTGAAGAAAGATATCTTGGTGTTAGCACACAGGATCACATATAAAAGTTGTAATGGTTTTCAAACGAGACCCAAAACTTGAGCACTTTCGAATAGTTCACTATTCTTCTTCTTCTGAGAAAGAATAGTGAACTATTTGAAAGTGCACGAGTTTTGGGTCTCGTTTGAAAACCATTGCAAGGTTTCTCATCAGTGTATCAATTAATTTGTGTACTGAGTCATTTAAATAATGCAATCCTTATTTCACTTGAGGCAGGTGGAGCATTCTTATCCTCAGGATATCTGCTTGGTTTATTACTAAGTAGTATTTAGTTTTTTCTTAAAACATTCTTATGATTTGATTGAGTTTTTCTGAAATTTCCAAAATTTTGTGTTAGAAACATTTTTGAAAAAACATGAAAAATACTTCCTTTTGTCTTAGAATTTCAATTTTGTTTTACGGTTGATCAGAAGACTTCATTTTATCTATCCCATCAGTTTCAACTTGATTGATTTTCATTGATATATTTATTTTGAAACTTTACTTTGCTAATTGTGTAGTCACTAGTTTTTGCTATAAATCTTAAAAAACAACAACAAATAAGGCCAAATAAAAAAAATTACATAAAAAGTGAGATGAACACAGTTGATTAATTTACCCATTTTCTTTATTTGTCATAAATTCTGTATCATTTTGATGAAAAAATGAAACAAAGAAGACTTCTGTTTGCCATGAACCCTTTTAAAACTAGCAACAATCATGAAAAAATGGGTGCAAACTTTCTTTCAAAGAGGTCATTTAAAAAAAAAAGGACCTACTCCTTCCTTTTTTTGAAAACTCCAGATGCTAAACATGTTTTGTTTGTTTTTTTACTTGGACTGAAATGACAGATTTAGCAGTGATATAAGAACTGACCTTTCAAAATAATTTCAGGCCAGGTTGGGTAATAGTGTTTTTGCTTACAGTACTTTTGTTTGAAATCATTTTATATCTATTAAATATACTTTGTTTTCGATAAATTATAAGTTCTTTTATCTATATGTATTGTTTGAATATGATAAACTTAACTATAGTATTCACTAAGTAAGGATTTGAGTCACCAGAATATTTTGCTTTCACTACCATACTCTCTAAATCTAATAACTTGCCTGATGTCTTATCAGAGAAATATAATTTAACAGGAAAACATTTTATGAAATAATACCTAAAGACATTATATAAAAAAAATTCCCAGAACTCTGGTTTGTTCCTGAGTCTTCCAAACTTCCCTCTTAAATCTGTTGTTGTTCTTTGCTGGAGCTACATCTAATCACTTTTCGTGAAACCATAAATTACTTCTCACACCACTTTATTCACTTTGCATTGACATAATTTGTTTATAATCTACTTTATCCAATGGTATTTAACCTTTGTCTATAGGTATTTTCAAAGCTGATCTTCGTTAGTAGTAATTATCACCCTTTAATGACCTCACATCATGTGATGTTAACTGAATCCTGTAATAATAAATTGTCGGATAGAGTAGGAAAATCACTAGAGAATCAAGTCTTCGTTAACTGTATTCTCAAGGGATGCTAATTCCTTAGCAAATAAAAATCTATGGTTTGGGATAAACAGAAAAATAAAATCAATAAAGCATTGTTTACAGGCAACCATTCTTTAAGCTCGGCAGAAATGTATGTTTGCAAAAACAATTTTTTGAATAAAAAATTGTTGAAATAAAGTTAGAATTAATATATTTACTTGAATTTTGAAATTTGATATGCATTTGACACTTGAAAGGTGCCCACCAGTTCAGAAAGGGTTAAGTTTTAGTTGAAACACCTTCTGTCCTGTGGTATATTACTTCCATTCTGAGTTCACAGTTGTTTAATTTATTATTTGAGGTCTTATAGGTCTCGTTAAAGAGTGAATTGATGTTTTTACATTGTTTGATCTCATTATATCATAATTCCTGGATTTTTCTTTTAGCTGTTCATCTCTAATTGACTGAAGTGCTATTGCCAACTGAACAGCTTCTTTTAAGGTTCTACGCCTACTTTGGTTTAGCCTAAGTCATATTTTTTATCCATGTGCTAAAAATCCACCATTTAATGTGGAGCTTCTTGATAAGATAGCTGGGCAAGTCTTTCCCTATCTTCAATTAATGTGGCTAAGGTCTCATCCTTCCTCCTCATTCTGTTCCTAAACTTTGTTTTAGGGACTTCTTTCTTTTGTGACACTGCAAATCAGTTTGATAAGGCAGCTACTAATGCCAAGTCACTGTCATGGCTCTCTATTGGAAAGTTGCTTGATGTTGTTAAAGCTGATCATTTTAAATGTGCAGCAAGATTAATAGCTTGTTGTTCACTACTTCATTGATTCATTTTGGAATTTATTTGTAACTGTGATTGGTATTCCTCCCATGGTACCTTTCTTTATGGTATATCCAAGTAAAACTGAACTTACTTTAAGAGTAATGGAATAGGTCCACTTAATTTCAGGAGGTTCAGCCAAGATACGATTATGATGTTAATTGGTATAATGAGACTGGACACAAAAGGAGATATGAAACTAACTAACTAAACACAAACACAGTGTATGTACTTGCTTTATGGTATGACAGACTGTAACTTTTACTGGATTATCTCAAACTCTCCAAGATCCTGTTCCAGACCATTAAAATCCAACATTCTTTAGTTTGCAACAAACATTGCATTTACCTAGAGTGACTAGTGCTAACCACGTAACTGGTGATTCTCATTAGAACATGGGTAAATCTATAACCTCTTTATATCACCTGAACATCCCACTGAAGGACACTTCTGTCAATATCCTTGCAAAAAAAAAGTTATCAAACAGTACAGATATAGGGAACAAAATATTCGGGTTTGTATGTTGTCTTCAAGACCTCCAACAACACAGAGAAAGTGCTGTAATGTTTCAATTTGATATGCCAAAGCTGATGCTCATTTTTCAGAAATTCCTGCCAAACAGCACATACAGTATTTTCAAACTTTGTCATGCACGTATCGCACACACACATACACTTTGTAATAGTCTGTAAATGATGTTTTGAATACTCACGCAGCCTAGCCAACTAGATACCTACGTACAGTACACGCATTTAGCATTGAGTCGGTTACAAACTCTCAATATGAGCTTGGTCCCAAGAGACCATTTTTACTTGTATATTGTTTTGATACTATAACTTTCAATAAAGTGTGTGTATCTTCACAAAATTTGGCAGACTTTTAGTAAAAATTACAAGTCGATTGTACACTTTTTCAATGGAGTATTTTTACAAAAGATTTGTCTGTGAATATATCAAGTCTTTTCTGACCAGTCTTAGTGCAAAATGATTTTCATGTTAAAATTAAAAATTCTTTTCTTCATCTCAAAAATCTCAAATGTCATTTGCATAAATTATATAACCTCCTAAATACATTTCAAATGTTGTAAAATTAAAACTTTATATTTGATCTTTTATTTTCTCTGTCCTAACACTATACAAGGTTGGTCAATTACATTACAAGAAGCATAACCTACCACAACTAATGAGAAGACTGACCTTGTAACCAGCAAAAATAAAAAAAATTTAATTTATCCTTTTTTTTCTAGCATGACTTGATATTGTAACATGAAACTACATTTATCCTAAGTAGCTTTAGACTTGTAACAGAATACATCTATTTATCCTTTTTTTTCTAGCATGACTTCATATTGTAACATGAAACTACATTTATCCTAAGTAGATTTAGACTTGTAACAGTATACATCTATTTATACTTAAATTTTATTGTTTTATTGCCCTTTTAACCATGTCTAAGTAATACTACTAGTACTATTTGTGCTGTTATAATGTAAGTTGTAAATGTAAATCACTTGGGGAATGTGCGGCTCATGTTATGTTACTGAATTACATTACCCATAGGTGTGCCTCATGGAAATTTTTTTTATTACTTTATTATTTTTATTTTACCTAATCTAACATAAACAGTTTCCTATTCTTACATTTTAGTTACTATTATTATAATAAATAAAGAATACATATGAAAAACAAGAAATAAAATATTTACCTGGGCCTTTTTTTTTTGCTGTTGGCTGTCAATGACATTTAACTCTACTTTTTTATACTAATAGTTGTTGTGCACTAAATAATTTTGATTTAATTAAATAATGCACCAAAAAACATAAAATAATAACATGTAAAGAAGCAGACAACGTCCCATAACTATCACAATTTTTTTGGCTTTCTAACTATGCGACAAGAGCCATTACAAATTCATCCAAGTTAGTCAATGTGTTACCTGTTGGAACGAAGCTTGTACTGAAAGAAAAATTAAAATTTGAAGGTAAAGGAGCCCAAGGCTGAACATAGTACTTCAAGTGTGGTCTACCAATCACCTATACAATAATATTATAAACTTTGTAGACTTATATTCAATATACTTTATAGATACAACCTAAAACTCTATTTGACCTACTATTAGCAACATCACGTTGCTTGGATGGCTTAAGAGACTGATCAACCAGAATACTAAGATTCTTTTTTTTTTTTCAGGACATTGTTAAGGTTATTACGATCAAAATATACTGAACCTCTTCTCACTGTTTAATTGAAAGTAATGAATGTGCTTACAGTGAAGTTTGAGCAACTTGTCATAAAAACATGCATGGTGACAGAAGTCCCTTCCATTCATCCTTTAAATGTCATCATTGCACATTCCAGACAACAACAACAGATCCCTAGTTAAATTTAACATTTGACATTCATATAGTTATGTAACAAACAATTGAAGGAACCTAGCTAATATTGCACACTAGTACATATCTACATTTTTAGATGGACCATTCCATAAGTTTATCACTAGTAGCAGTCTAATAATGCCTAAGAAATAGGCTAAATATGGATTTATTTACTGTTTTATCACTAGAAGTGTGTAATTTTGTATTTCAATCTCATTCCATCTCTCAAATAAATCTTCAATAGGCAGTTTTTCTAAATGTTTTGGCTGCATGTGGCCTAGTGGGTAGCATGTCTGGACTGAATCTGAAGATTCATAGTTTATGACCTGTTGCTGCAAAAATTCTCTCTGCACTTTGGGGTCATAGTTGTGCAATAAGATTCATGGCCAAATCCCAATGGGTGATATTAACTAGCTCTCTTTGTTTAAACTATATATACAAAATTAGGGATGGCTATGTGCACAGATAGCCTTTGTGTAACTTTGCTCAAGTATATATATATATATATATATTTATGAAAACCATTTATGCTTAAATGCTTTTGTAGAAGTTATAGTAGTGTACACTTCTGGAAATTGTATTAAAAGCTGTCAAAATATTAATATATCTTTTTACACATATTCCTTCCTAACATAATAACAAAACAGCTGATGTAACATTGATATTGAATTGCATTTTATTTATTTTTTAAAACTAACAGAATATAAGTGTTTTGAAGTCCTTTAGATAACATTATTATTTCTTATCGTTTAGAAACTTGTATTCAACATGGGTTTTTCTCAATTTAGACATGGACCTATTCATAACTTCAATGTTTTATTTTTTCCTATTTACTATCAGATGTCTGTCATACTCAAGAAAATGTGTTTTTAATATTATATTTGAGCTTTGACAATGTTTTTTGCTTCAAGTTATTATTTTGAATTAAAATAGAATAACTTGAAGAACCTTCAACTGAGCCAGCTACTGACAAAGTAAAATAACCAAATATCCTGTAAGTTATGGTTATATTTATGACTGTAAGCTGCAAAGAAATTCTTGAAGTTTAGAAATGTTTTATAGTTCCATTTTAAAAATTTGACAGTACTTCTGCAGTTAGTACAATACATTAATATTTATTACTGGGCAATTAGTGGAGTTTATTAATCAATTAATTGTCAGGATCATTAATTGATTACATTCAACTATTTGATTATTCTCACATGAGATGGCTAAAAAACTTATAATGCTATAAGTTGGGTTTCAGTGCTCATAGTGGACAGAACACATAGTCCATTATGTAACTTTGTGTTTAACAATAAACAAACATAATAGCAATATTTAAATTACATGTATAGTTGGAATAATTGAAAATAGTAATAATCAGAAACCCTAAGTTTAATAAGTTGATTATTTTCATGACATTAATTCATTTAATCATAATTTTGATTAATTAATTAACCAAATCTGCATGGGCTTGGTATATTGGACTGACCCCATATTGGAGATGGAATGTTGATTATAATTCCAAATTTACTGTTTAGTTAAATGAAATGTGGCAAGCTTTTAGTAAAATGTACAGGTCTGTTATACACAAAAGTCAGATGTGTTACAAAAATATTTATACTCGAGAGACTTGTGGATTGATAATGTTAGTCAAACTCAGACTAACCAATCAGAGTGGAAGGTGATGTTAATGTGAAGACTGAAAATGCGTCTGTCTATTGTACAATTTGCATGTTGCATTTTCTGACCTCTAGAACCTCCTTGATGTATATGTACAGTTTATTTTTAGTATTCCTGATTATTGTATCTGATGTTTACTCTTCACTGTCATCAACTGTTGCTAAATTAACAATGTAGAGTAAAATGAATAGTTGATAACTCTGACATCAAATACATGATACCATGTTGAATGACACTCTGTAAAAGGTTGTAGTATGTGCAGTTTGACTCTCATCTGTGCACACAGAATTAATCAAGTTAATCACCCAACTCTACTAATATTAAACTAGTGGATTCATTTTACTTGAATAAAAAATATTGTGGTATGTACTTTTATGTATAAAATAAGTGCTATTTAATTTAATTTTTTAAATATTATTGAAATAACCCTTTGTTTTTCATATACTTTAAACCAGAGCATTGGTTCTAGTCGTTAATTATAAATTTGCAAGATGTAAAATTATAGGTAATCATACATTATTGTTCTTATTTGTTTTTAATGTTGTTCTGTTTGTTATATATTAAATATTAACAATTAAAGTGAAAATTTAAATGTGTATAGTAAAAACAAATGTTTTCTATTTTTGTCTTATATACATATGAAGGTATAAATTATGATTCTGTTTTGCTTTATCTAGGTATGGACAAGGAATTTTAATGAGTTAAGGGGCATTTGCACAGGTTTTATTGTTGCTTTTGACAAACATTGGAACCTTGCCATGGTGGATGTAGATGAGGTGTATTTAAAACATGCTAAAAGAAAGACTCCATTTATATCAGAAGTAGCATCACCTGATTTTGAAGAGCATGGTATTGGAGTTAATCTTTTGTGTGATTTTGATTATTATACAGATTCAGAATCTACACAAACATTACAATATGATGATTCTATTTCAAGACAAGAAACTTGTGAAGAGCTCTTTAAAGTTAGGGAAGAAAAAAGTTTTATTGGTGACAGTAGCTTTTCTGAGTTTCAAGTCTCGCAAAGTAAAACACAAACTGAGAATAGAGAAAAAAATTTGAACATTCAGTTTCTTTCAGAAAAGCTAGCCGCATTGACTCAGAAGGACAAACAAAACACTGAAGAGTTATCAGTAAAGCAACATTCAAGTACTTCTCAAGCACCGTCCACATCAGAAACTCGTATAGCTGAAAATATACATCATAAAACTAAAAACACAACACATAAACCTCAAATATTGGATAAATCTAACAGACCTTGTGCTGGACCAACATGTACTAGACAGAGCTTAATGGCCCAAATGTTATCTAGTGTTTCAACAGTTCATCCATTACAAGATGCAAGAAGAAACAAGAAGCGTAACCTACCACAGCTAATGAGAAGACATGTCAATCAGCTATTTGTACGGGGAGATAATGTTGTTGTGGTTTCTATAATAAAAGTTTGATATTCATTCTTTACATTTTCTTGTCTTTAGTGAATAATTTATAATTGGAAGTTTATCAATAACATTGGAACATTGTTTAGTGACCTAAATTATGTATGTTTATAACATTTGTCTATGCTTTAATAAAAGTATTTTGCAAAAATAACACTAAAAACTATCAGAAATTATCATCTATGTCAAATATATATATATATATATATATATTTTTTACTTCTGAAGGCCAAAAAACACATTTAATAAAAATGCTAGTATGTTATGGAATGCTTGAAACATGCTTTCTGATATGATATCTTACCTCCTTTCACCCAAGGCTTTCTCGACTTATATTGCCCTCCATCGGTGCAAATTTTTGCTAGCCACTAGCCTTGATACTCCCACTTATTTCTGCATACTAACATGCAAATGACTAAGAAGCAACCCACTACCTCTATCATAGCACCCTATTTAATCTTGCACATTTTAGCTACTCGATTGGCAGTCTTATTGAATAGATGTGTTTTCGCTCGTGGTTTGATTCACTTAACCAGTAATTTTTAGTTTCTTAATTTCTCTACTTTAATTACATTATTCTTTACCATTTTCGTTCTCTGTTGTGGATTGTTATGAATTAATTAATTAATTAATTTATCTTCTCTTCTCTTTCAATTTCGTGAGTTATGCATTCAAGTTTCAGTTAATCACAAGTACAGACCATATTACTGCTGCAGCAGAATTATCACCCAAGTCTAACGGGTCGGAACCACGATTCTTGGCTCATGAAGTGACAGCTCTGGTCCATCGAGAGTTGATCAATTTAATGCAATAATCAGAACACACTGATGATTGTCTTATCCCAGTTTTCAGTGATTGGGAGTTTTTGGATTTGGACAGTCTTTTCACCCTTTCTGAATCATTCTCTCAGTTGTGTGTTGTTTTGGGGGTCTTGCCCAGACCTCTTTTTGCTTTGGTGGATTTGATTATTCAGGCAGGCATGTTATGTTCTGTCTTTATCACCTGTTTTGCATCTTACACCTCTACCCTTCTCGGGGACTAGCTTTTGGGTCATTTTTAGTGTTTTCTCCTTCCTTGGATATTTGCATTCATGAGAGTTGCTTTTGAGAACATTTGCATTTGAGGGTTGGTATCTGGCCCCCACCAGCCCTGATCCGAGTAGAGGTGGTCAGAGTAAGACCAAAAAACGGGTAAGGGTAATCGAGTTATTGGATCCGATCCCCACTAAGGGAGAAGTGACACCAAATGCAGTGAGTTCAAATAAGGGCAGTCAGAACAATGATAATCAAAGCATGATCTTCCACAGTTTGAGGGGTTTGAGGCACTCTTTCAATTAGCCCACTTTTGGCAGTCGATCTATGAGTTGAGAAAGTCGATTCAGTAAGTCTGGTTTTGTACTTACATTCATCTCTCACTTTGTCCCACAGTCCTATTTTTTGCCTGCCTGATTCATTCCAGAGGCCTTTGTTTCCACTGTTCTATGGATGTTATGGCTGCTTCTTGCCTCCTCACAAGGTGACTCAGTCCTACACCCTCAGTTTATTCTCCAAGACACTGTCCTGGTGGGTTTGCTTGTCCAACTGGAGCAATTGTTTTCCTCATACCCACCCAATTTTTGATTCATCTCGTGGTGCGTTTTCAACTCCCTCCTCCTCTTCACTTGTGAGCTATGGAATGATGTCTCATGTGCAGCATCTCATCCTCCCCTTCTCCTACTATGTAAGAGGTTCTCTCTCTTTTGGGGACTTGGGCTTCTCCTTAAGCCATCATTTCTCTTGGTCATGCCTAAATGCATCATTGTCAGGGGTTTCTGCTAGATCAATGGAGACTTGTTAGGGTTCCTTTAGATGCCCCTCATATCCCTTCCCCCCCCCCACCATTACAGACTGACTTCAAGTGGTGGTTGGATCGGGGTTTTCTTCCTCCTCCTTGGCTGGAATGATTTTTTGTATCTCAACACTTGGGAGGTTTTGGGATGATGGTATCTGTCTGAATCCTCTCTCCATATCAATCTTGGAACTGCTTGATGTTCATCAGGTTTTCCTTCATTTCCTACAGGACCCTAGGGGCTGGTTGGTGATGGTTCACTCCATTGTTTCTATGGTAGTCTCATACATTCCCAGGCAAGTGACACTTGGTAGACAGACCTCTGTTTTCTCATATTACATTTTCTGTGTTGGGACCATCACTTTATTGGTATATCATTATCCAAATGTCATACATCTGGCCATGGATTGGTTATACTGTCCTGACAAGATTCTCCCTGCAGTTTGGTCATCAGATCTACCTGTCTTTTGGGTTATGTGTGCTCTGTGAGGGTTGTTCCAGATTTGGACGCTTTTGCCACTTTTATCAATACGCCACTTTCCTGATTTTGATCACCTGTTCCTTATCCTCCAGCAGGAACAGTCGTTGCTCTCAGTTGTGACTGGTCAGGTTGGTAGCTATATTCATATCCTCCTATTTGCTTTCCTTCCATTTGTTTTTCTATGGTAGTCTCATACATTCCCAGGCAAGTGACACTTGGTAGACAGACCTCTGTTTTCTCATATTCAGACTATTTCATGTAGTGTTATGCTGTTGGTTATATATTGGCCAGCTCGCATATGACTTTCACTGCTGCACTGTTTTTTTTTGTGTTGCCCCCTTTCTCTTCCTTTACCTGCACTCCTTTTTCATGTGTGGCTTTGTCCTGGCCCTTGCTTGAAGTGCCGGATTTTCGCATGTAACTTCCTTCATTTTCTATCCTGTTCTTTCTTCCTCCATGGCAGTTTACTTATGTACATTGTACACCTACTATTCTTGGTCTGTAATAAGGTGTTATAGTCCTTCCCATCCTATAGTTTCTCACATTCTCCTTTTTTGCCTTGGTTCTTTGAACGGGTCCTTTCAGTTTTCTCTGTTGTTGGCTATAGGGTGGCCACTTATCTGCCACTTTCCAATTTACTCACTTTGCTTGTATTTTTCCAATTGCCAGTCTAATCCATGTTGTTTCATTTCTTCCATTTTTCCCATCCTTCCTGCAGTGCTTCCCTTCCAGATTAGCACCTATGTGGTGCTCCATGCTGTTCCTTTTCTCCATTAGAACATCTGTCTTTGTGTTTGTTTATCACCTTTATTTGAAGTTCCTGTTCCTGCTCTTGTTGGTGTGCAAATGTTGTCATTCTGATGTGTTTTCAATTGATGTTCACCACGTTTGTTTTCTTCGTTTCTATATTTTCCTCATTCCTGGTTGTTCCTTTATGCCCAAGACTTGGGCTGCTTGAAAGGGTACTTCTACCTTCACACTTTTTTCATTTCCCACCTTTATGTCTGTACTGATCCCATCCACCTTCTTTGCCTGGTCAGGGCTGTCTGATGGTACATGACATATACTGCTCCCTTCCACGGTTCCCGAGTCTGTTTGTTTCTTCTGTAAAATCCTCACCTGTCCTGTGACCTTTTTTCCATAACCCTTCTGTGTTGAACTTGCCAATTAATTCCCGTGGCAATTTCCTTCTTTTTCATGTTTTCTTCTCATTATATCCACCACCTTACCTTGTCCCTGGCTGCACATCTTAACCTTTGCCTGTAACTGTTTATCTGTTGGTGGCAAATACTCTGCTCATTTTTTTTTCATTGCAGGGGCCTTTATCTCATATTTTGATCCCACTCTGTGGCGAGTGTTGCCTGACCAGGTCTACTTAGTCTTAAATCTGCACTGTATGACATGTGATCATATACTATGCTAGGTGACTGTGACATTGAGGCTCTTCCTACCATGGACCTGATGTACAATTCCAGATGCTGCCAAGTATTGGTTGATTGACTTCGTCAATGTGTTCTACATACTTTCAGAATACAATGTCATAACATATATCCAGGTCATATTATGCCCTAGGTGGGGTGGTCTGCAGCACCATTTGTAGGTATACCTTGCATTCTTTTGCTTCATTAATATGTTTGTCCCTGACTGTACACTTCTGGACTAATATGAGTAAAACAGACAAAGATTACTGCCCATCTCTGAGGATGCATGGTGTTTGAGGCTACTCCTACCATGGACCTGATGTACAATTCCAGATGCTGCCAGGTGTTGGTTGATTGACTTTGTCAATGGGATTGCTCTGCTTTTCAAAATAGGATATTGCAGTCATCCATTGAACTGTCTCCAGTGCTGCGGTCCTTCAAACTCTCCAATGCACTTTTTCCTTCCTTCTCCTAGTGGAGTATGAGTCCTTGCTATTTACTGGTTCCTAGCTGCTGGGGTGGTGGACCAAGGAAGCCTGTCCTCCTAAGTGTGTACAATAGCAGTCAGCTGAGAGTAGGGTGGTGGCATTCTGCCAGTGTAGATGGCATGACACCCTTCCTACTTGACATATAGTTCCAGATACTGCCAGGTGTTTGATGTAACACTCTGCCATATATTGCAGGTTGTCCCTCCAGCTGAGGCACCCTCCTTCTTATCATTTGCTGGATGTTGGTTCCCGGAGATCAGGTGTTGGTTGGAGCTGGACCAACCACGTAAGTCCTCATATGTGTTTGGTTGGTATCCTCCTCCTCCTACTGCAGACTGGACTATAAATTCCCAATGCTGCCAGGTTTTGGACTGGAGATGCAACCCCAAATAGTTGTCTCTCTTCCTACCGTCCTATGGATGTTGGTTACTGATGGATTTGATGTTGGTTGTAGCCAGATGAGACACATTAATTTCTGCTTTGTAAGGCTGGGTACCCTCCTCCTACTGTGGAATGGATGACAATTCCCAATGCTACAAGGTTTTGAACTGGAGAGGAACACCCACCTGGGCTCTCCTCTTTCCTACCATCTGCTGGATGTTGGTTCCCAGTGGATCTGGTGTTAGATGTGCAGAGGTGGGTTCTAGATACGGGAGTTTCTCTTACCTGCAGATACCTGTTTTTGAGGTGAAAGGTAGAGGACCCTCTTCCTACCATGGACCTGATATACAATACCAGATGGTGGTTGAGGTCATACTCCCATTTATGGTATGCCATCCCTAGCCATTCTACACCAGGGGTCCCATT